TCTCCTCCAGCAGCCCACGCTGACAACTGTAAATGAGATTAGACTTCAAGGCGTGGGGCAGATGCAGAACCCCCTCTGTGCATTGCCAAGAGACCCTTGTAGCTTTTAAAGTGTCTTTCCCCTTTACAATGCACAGCTTGGTGGAGGGGGAGAAGGGGGCAAATTTCTTGTCACGCTCACAGAAGCATCTAATGTAGCAGGCAAGGCAGACTCTGGTTTTAGGGCCTGGATGCTAATCCGTTATCACCGTGGACAGTCTTCCCAACAGCACCTCTGATTCTCCAGTTCACGCTAGGAGATGAAGTAACAAGTCTATGACTATTTCCCAATTCCAGTTCCTATAACCTCCTCTTTGCAGCACCACTCTACTTAAATGTGGACATATGTCCTGACAAACACTAATCTAAAAAGGCAGCGACAGACCAAAATTCACGCAAGGACTTGGAGGTCACGTACAACCCGGTGCTCAACCCCCCTGCCTATATTGCTGCTCTCACTGCCATCATTTCCTATTCCTCATCTTGCAGTTTCTGCTCCTCTGCTCCCCGTGACCCACACAAACCAGAGGTAAGACACAAGCAGTTTGTCAGAGAAAGTGGTAAAATCTCCAGACACAAACCACTGCCTAGAGCTCAGAGAGACCTGCCTGGCAAGGTCTTCCCGCCACAGCCAGCAGGGGTTAGCCACCAACAATAGTCAGGGAAACTTTTCAAAGTGAAGCATGATGTTTAGCTCAACAGTGCCCCAGTAAACAAACTGGAATTTCTTTTACAGCGTGGGAAATAGCTCATCCTTCTTGTGTTAAAGGCTATCCAGAGAAAAGGGACACAGTTAACACAAAAGATCATCAAGTTCAAAATAATTCCCTTTCTCGGTTACCACCAACCATGGTCATAGCTGGCCTGATTTTATGGATTGCTTTGCAATTTCAATCATGTGGGAACCAGCCCTGGATTTAAGAAGGCTGCCAAGTCAGCATATTTTCAAGCATTTTCTAATGTTTTATGAGACCACGGCAGAGCAGGTTCAGCTGCACCCACTGCTGGTAGTGTCAGCAACTGAACTCTTCCTGGCAAGTGTACGTCTGGTCCAGGATATCTCTACAGCCTTGTTTCTGAGCTCAAGTTTTCCATTAGCTGCCTACACAGACTGGGTAACTTGGCATCTCTCTGCATTCCCCATAAACTCTGTTCATCTGTTGCCATCACACCCACGTACAAGTCTCAGGAAGGAATCCAGTGTTTCTAAAGCAGCTGCAACAAAAACACAGCCTGGATTGACAAGCAATAGGATCAAGGTGCTGAGCCAGTGAGGAGGGTCTTTTTGGAGAGTTTTGTGTGTGTCTATTTAAAACAAGTTTGTTGTCATGACTACAAACCAGAGTACAGGTGAGAAGAAGTGAGAACTCCAAGATGAGGGCTGATAACGTTAATTCACCTTTGAAATCTCAGCAGCCATGGGGATAGGGAAACAGAGAAGGTGATACAAGCTCTTGGCATCGTTAGATGCTAAATGCCACCTCCGGAAGGCAGGTCTGTCCTAATAACAATCTTCGTCCTCCTAGATAGCCCCTTTCACCCAGCACAGCCAAGGGCTGCATAATACCGATTAGCTGCAGTCATCTCTAAAGCAGGGGCACTGGGGACATGGAGGCAAAGAAGGGCATCCAAGGACCTAGAACGGACATAGAAAAGCAGGAACAGCCCCTCAGGACATGCATCTGAAGACTCACTCTCTAACCATCAGACAACTTGGCTTCAACAAGGATAGTGAGATGCTCTCATGTCTGCGTGCAAGGCAATTAACAAGAGATCTTATTAGCACAGAGAAGTGTGAAACTGTCAAGACCTGCTCCTGGGATTGTCACATTTTTAACTTTACCAGAAGATTAACCAAAAAGAGGGGTTTGGGCCAGTGAAGAACAAATGAAGAAAACCCCAAGTGATTGCGGAGGGATGGAGAGAGGCAATGCTCAGAGCTCGGATTCCACACAGAAACAGTGTGGAGTGCTCAAAGACAGCGCAGGCTCTGCAGAAGGCAGCAGATGCGGAGCTAATGTGTGTGTGGGGGTGGAGGGTGTTTATGAGCACAATAAATAAATGTATGAATCCCTATAAAAGTTCCCATATACAAGTGAGTTAGAGCTGCCCGAGGGCCATGGCCTTGTAATAAAAAATGCATCTCGTGAGCACAGTATGAAGCAGCAGCTGTACTGTAACTGCCTGGCTGCAGCACTGAAAAGCCACGTGTCTGCCTGCTCCCAAACTCTTGGGTGAAGTGCTGACCCCACTAAATGCAGGAGGAATTTTGGTACTTGCTTCAGTGTAGTCAGGATTTTGCCCTGGGAGGGGCTTCTTTGAACCTCAAAGCCTAGAAAGCAGTTCTGGATCTGCCTTTTTGCCAAATTTAAGTTCTTTTACTTCTTAAAAAGAAGCAATCTGCAAGTGGCTGGAGATACTGGCTTGAGCCACTGACAGTTCCCAGTGTGACAGATTAGAGCTGGATCAAAACAAATAAAAAATTCCTCCAGAAAGCATTGTCAGTCACTCCTCTCCCCCAAAATAAACAAGCAAAAAGCACTGCTTTATGGCTGAGCAGCAATTTTCATCAAGAAGTTTTGAATTTTTAATTTAAGATGTTGGGGGGGTTGGGTCATAAAAAAGCCCAAACCCTTTGATTTTGTATGTCTAAACAGAAACCTGCTTTTTTGTCAGTAAACCTAAATAAAAGTATTTTAAAAAATATCTCCCCAGGGGGGGGGGGGGGGGGGGGGGGAAGCATTAACAATTTCTTTCCCCCCTCAAAGGCAAGGGAGGGGAAGTGCTGACCCCTCCCTCTCACTGTTTGCTGTCATACTCCATCACCCCGGAAACAAGAGACTTGCAGACTCCCAGCCTGTGAATTCCCAACTGCTCCAACACTTTCTCCAGAGCCTTCTCTTGCTCTGCTGCTCTCCTGGGAGGTGGTGAACACAGAGGCCCACGTGTGTCACCTGAGAGGGTGGCTATCAAACTTCAGTCCCAGCCCATGAGTCACAAATGCACAGGGCACGTGAATCTTTGGCCACCCATTTCCACTCTAAGCACTCATAAGGCCAGGTCATGTCTCCCAGGGAGAGCTGCAACTGTTCCGAGTTTCAACACACAGGCTTTCTCTAGTTATTAAGACTGTCCTCATGTTTCACATGGATGCCTATCAGAGCTAAACAAAACGCTCCCCTCTCCTACCAGCACAGAGCTGCTGGGAATAGCAACCTTGTTCCATGACAAACAGCATCTTGCAATTCACTGCAGGGCTAATTGCTTTGCATTGCTGATATAACGCTCAAGGAAGACGTCAGCTCCTTGGCTTTGCCCACAGGCAACAAGGACGTTATTGATTTATTCAGGACTTACAACTAGTTGTCACAGGTTGCATTCTCTTTGATAATAAAGTCTTACAGACAAGGCTTAAATTTCAGCTGCAGCCCTAATTGAAACATAGCTAATTACTGAAGGTCTGCCTTTACAGCCCATTCCCTTGTCACTGGGGTAATGTTCTGTAAATCCAACAGTCAAACTCTCCCCTCCCTTAAAAAGAAAAAAAGAAGGAAAAAAACCCATCTACTATTCAAGCAAGTCCAGTGAGAAATTACAGATTCCTCTCTTTGAGCCCGAGGTAGCTACCAGCCAAGAGCCCCATCCCACAAGGACTCAATGACTTCAAAGGATGCTTGTAGAATCAGACTCCAAATTAAGGCCAATGTTTGAGATGGGGGAGAATTCAAAGTGGCTGAAACAAACATTCAGCCCAGACCACAAGCAATTTATCTTGCATCCACCTTCTGAGTAGCAGCATACCCTACAAGCCCCAGCAAATTCAAATACACCACACAATTTAGGTGTGATCAACAATTATAGTAATCTAATTCCCAACTGCCAGCTTGCTTGACTGTACAACAACAAATGTACTGCAGTCCAGACGTGTGGATTAGCAGGTATAAATGAGCACTCATCGGAACAGGCAGTCCAGTTATTAGCTGAATGATAACAGAACCCCCAGGGTACCAAGGACATCCTTTCGCGGAGATTGTGCCACAGCTTTTGGCTTTGCAGTTCAGCCAGACACAGAAGCAAGATTATCGCCTCATAAAGCAGGGATGAAATCCCATCCGAACTTTAGTATTGCCAGGACAATGCCAGCATCAGAGTAAGCTCCCTTACGGAAGGTGACATTTACGCGCACAGACAACAGCACAAAAGTTTATGACATCAAGAGAGTGCTGCAGTTTAGAAGCAAGTCAACCCTAGAAAAATCCTCCAGTTTATAGCTGCTTCACATTTCAACCAGGCAGATAGAAGGAACACCACAAAGCAAACATGTCCATTAAAGCAGCTAAAAGCATAATTTACAAACTAGAATCCACAACCCAAATTCTCAGCAGCTATAACTCGGAGCTCTGCAGAGCTGTGTTGATTTCAGCTGGCTACAGATCCGACCCAAGACATTTACCTGATACAACCATAGCCTTTGGTACAGAAGCAGATACTTTGCTAAACCTGTGCAAGTTTAAAGCAGCAGGTCCTCCCCTGGAGGATGTAACCCACAGAAGTCAGTTTAGCAGCTGGGGAGCCATTTCAAAGAATACAGTGCCAGTTTTACAGGTCCTAGTTTGCCTGCCTCAAAGAGTAGAAGACCCTTTAATTCACAGAGCAAGGATAGAGCAACTGGCAGCAAACAGAGCACCTGCTGCAGCACCTCGGCTCAGACCCTGAGCTAGGAGGGATGACCAGGCTGGGCCCGCTTCTGTCCCTGACTACTCTGAAGAGGAATTGAGAAGACAGCCCAAAGCAGTAGTGATAATTATGACTTGGACACCAGCATCCTGGGAACTGGGAGCATGGAGCACATTACTCCTAGGCTGTATTTTAAATGCAGGGAAAATCTAGTACAGAGGAAATTAACTGGAGGCTAGACTCTTTGCTCACAAGACAGAGACAATATATCAGTTGTTCACATACCTGATCAAATAGGGCTTTCCAGTGCTGAGAGGCAATGCATAAGGGAGGAAAAAGAAGAAAAAGAAGGTTTAAGAGCAACGACATTAACATGCAGTAAACTGTAGAAGTATATTCTAACAGAGAAATAACCAAATGATTTAGTGCCATTTCCAACATCCTTCTTCATCCCAGAATCACCTACCCTTCCGGGGGAGGAGGCAGGGGGAATCTACCAACCACAGGGAAGACAGTTTTCACTTACAAATCCAAATTAGGATGAACTCAGAACATTCATGTGTTAATTCTGTTTTCTCCCGCTTTGTCTAGTTGCAAGCAAGCAAGGAATAAAAGGCTTTTTTACTCACAGGGATCAAGAAAGCTTGGTGTATATTGAGGGGAGGGAGGAGTTGGCAACGGTTTTTCAGATCAGTTTCTGAGGTCCTGTGGCCCAACACTGACCCACAGACCACCTTGTCAGGTTGTCAGAGCCTTGTCTGCTGCCTGCTCCTAACTCCGGCAGGGACTTGCTGCAAGGTCTTTGATAACCCATCAGTTCTTTGAGCCTCACATGTCCACATCTGAAAAACAGGTAATTCCTCTCGCACAAGGTGGAAGGGGGGAAGACTGGAGAGAGCCCATTACAAGGATTTACCCCACAACTTTTGTTCTAGCAGATCTGCCTTAAAAGCTCTGTATAGGAGGAAGCTCCATTTCAACACAGATGACCATGTGAACACTCCACAAGTCCTTGTCACTCGGGAACAGAAAAAACAAGCTGGCGACTGGCTCTGATTTATGCTTTGTAGAAAGACCGACGTCAAGCCACCTCCCCGCCCCAGGCTTGCTGCCTCACAGTCCCACGGAACAGAGGAAATTCCTAATGGATTGTTTAAGGCTCTCTCATGTCTCCTGGATTTGGGGGCCAGCTGAGAAGAGAGCAACTTCCATGGGGCAACAGTAGGGTAACCACTGGCTTGAGGTCCCCAGAAAAAACCTTGCACATTTCCAGTTCTCCTGTCTGAAGTGCTGTTCAGCACAACACTTTGTTTCTGCCTCATTCACCTTCCCAGAAAAGCAAAATGAGAAAAATACCAAACATCAGACTCATACAAGCAAATCTCCCACTGTGCTATATGCAAAGCAGAGCTCTGGTGAGTGTCTTTACTAGTCCTGGAAGAACATTTCCTTTCACATGGTAGGCAGATCTAAAGCAGAATTGACTGGAGAGACAGTGGGATTTCAGGCCACTGAATTCCATTTAATCAGTTAAGTTGTTGGCTCCCCTCCTCCCCATGCCTCTATCCATTTATAAACTCCCATTTCTCATCATAAATCAGCCCAGCACTTTAAACAGAACATTTTGGGACTGCCTGAATCCTGGCTTTGTGGAACGCTGCTCTGAGAGCTGTAATGACATCACAGCTGAGCTGTTATACACTGTCAAGGCTGTGACAGCCAAACCTCCACTACGTAATATTTTTGTGGTTAATAACACATAAAGAACTGACCTTGCGTCAGTTCTTGCCAGCCAAGCCAGAGAGCTTACATCAAGCTTTCAAATGTAATAATAACAACAGAAAATCAACCCCCAGTTAGGTCTCAGGGGGGCACACTCCTAGCACAGAGCAGTTCGAATTTTCAGAGATGATGCTCTGTAGCCTGCTTGTTTCAGCAGGAAATCTTGGCTGTGGAGGAGGAGGACATTTACACCACTTCCTGCTCTTCCGACTTGCAGATGATATACGATACCTCAGGCTTCTGTCACATCATCTATTGCCAGGTCTCAGCAGCTTCCCATAACCAGTGCAACTGCAGGCTCTAGCTCCATTTTGTTGATTGCAGAAAACAAGGTACCAGAGTCAAATAACAATGCAGATCCCAGCATAAGTAATGGCGAGACACTGCGAGCTGGATCAGACCCAAGCTGTCCTACCTCAAGGTCAAGCAGCAAGTCAGTAGCAGAACTAGGATGAGAATCTAGATTTCACCAAGGAAAGCTCATGGTCACTGTCCTGTCTCAGGACCCAAATCCTGCCAGGCACTCAGCACTTCAGCATCTCCTGGGCCCCTAGCAGGATTGAATTGCTAATGGCTGCATTTGTGTAGAGGCTGGAGTAACTCCAAAGGGGCCCATGTGTATCACAATAGGAAATCTTTCTTGTAGACCATCCAAGACAAGCACAAAATTCATCAGGGAAGAAAAGGTCAGAGTCTGAGGTAAGCAAGCACAGGGATTTGGAAACCTGGACTGTGAAAGCTCCTGGAAAGCCACCCTTTCTGAGTGAAAGCTACACCTGCCCCTGGGTCAAGCATGCTACTCTTGGGACTGTCTGGCAGCATTGTAGGAGAGGTCAAACTGCATCACACATTCCCTCCTGACTGTAGAGTGCTCAGGAATACAGCCTGGGGAATGCAGCTCTACCGGGCAACTGCACTTCCTCCGTTACCCTCTGGGAGGAAAATCCAACAGCAACCGAATTCTAGGTGATTCAGAAGGAAGGGCTGGGGGATGAGGAGCAGGCACTGCCCCTAAGCAGCCCCAGGCAGGTTCCTCCAGCAGTGTCATAAAAGTAGAGGGGAAAGGGGATGTGCCATTGCTGGAGGCTTAGTTCACAAGTGTCCCTTTCACACCAGTGGCAAGACCTGAGACAGAGCCCACTTCAGAAAGACATTTAGTATCACTGCTTCATCCCTCCATAGGCAGAAACAGACCCTGCGCTAACCTCTGCAGACTGAGCAGACACTTTGCACAGTCCTCATCCCAGCAGAGTTTGCTGGGAAGCAGAGCTGCGAGCAGTCCTGGGATGCACCAGGAATGCAGGATCTGCTCACATTCACACCCTCCCAGACAGGTGCACAGCGAGCTCCTGCCTCCGGGACTGGTAGATGCAGAACTACCGCCACAGCTCTGCAGGCTTTGCTGCTCAGCCTGGCAGGAGCAGATTCAAAGCACGCAGGACCACTTGGTGTCCTTCTAGGCTGGATGAGCAGAGACAAAGACCCGGTGCCAAGTTATCCCACCCTCAGGTGCAGTCAGAGCTCAGAGGGTAGAGAGAAGCTATCAGCCCTGCCGAGCCAGGGAAAAAACTTCCTCGGCTGTTTGTTGCTCGTGGGCTGGAAGAGGAACAGGCTCCCGAGAGTGGGAGCATTTCACATCCGTCACCCTCCGAGTGGCTGGGACTCTGGAAAAGCTCTCTATCCCCAGGAAGCCCCTCAAGCCAAGGCGTCAGCCCCTCTCCAGCCTCTAGAGCTGCAGCCCCGCTGCCCCGGCCCGGCCAGCCACAGCCCGCTGTGAGCCAGCACCTCCCCGGCGGCGCGGCTCCGGGCACGAACACCGAGCG